GCCACTACTTTAGTGTCTGCTACCATATCCAACTAATAGAAGCTGGCCCCAAATTCTCAGTTCTCCCCAGGGCTGGAATTCCAGGTGTGCTACTTACCACACCTGGCTCAGTAGGGTTTGATTCCTTATATTTCCGTCTTTTCCCACCTTTTATTTTCTTTCTGGAAGATGTTAGGGGTGGGGCTAAAGATATCGCATTACTCTGTGAGGCCCAACAAACAGCAGTTAACAGCACTGGCTGGTCTCCCCCAGAAGATCTGGGTTTAATTCCCAGCACCCACACAGCTGCTCACAACCCACCCGAAACTCCAGTTCCACCAGGCACACACATGACGCACAGACAGACGTGCAGGCAAAACACAGAACACGATAATTCAAAGAAAATGCCAGAGAAATTATACATCAGAACAGAGTAGGCTTTCTCTCCCTGGCAGATAAGAAACCTGCCCATCAACACCTCAGCCTCCGCCTGCCAAGTAAGGCAGCTCAGCCTCTGTGGGAGATGCCCAGGAGGAAGGCTCAGTCACCTTGTTCAGGGAGAGACAGCTGTCTGCCTTCATTCAAAAGCTGAGGTGCTGAGGTCCTGAGGCAGAAACCCTGCAGGCCTGACTCTACCTGTCTGTACCTTCACAAAAAACTCACCTTGACTGTGTCAAAAGGGTGTCCCACAAGCACACCTGCCACACCTGGAAGAAAAAGGTGCCCGTGACCAAGTGCCTCAGAACTTTGAGGAATCGTGTGTGTGTGTGTGTGTGTGTGTGTGTGTGTGTGTGTGTACCCTGGGCCCATCCCAGGAATCCCTGCAACCACCCTCTGGTAACAGAGGGCAATCAGCACCCCCTTAACTCAAAGCTGTGTCCCTTGCCTTCCCCTGCAGCTCCCTGAGGTGTTGTGTCCCCTGGGGAACTGCACCGCACCTTCTGGAAGCACAACACCACAGGAGGCTCAGGGAAGCTGGAGTTGGAAGTTAGGCTGCCACCAGCAGAATTTGAATTTTCCTTTTGTTACTTCTTACCTTCAGGGAAGGCACACAAAAGGATTGTCTTGACCCTATTCAGCTCACCTGAAAGGTACTTAGCATCCTCCTTGCCCTACCCCACCACACTCCAGGATGGAGATTAGGAACTCCCAGGAAATACTGCCTGCTGGCCGCTACCTCCCTAGTGCTGCTCTACTCTGAGTCAGGCTTGGTACATTAATCACTTCAGGGCCTGCCAGAGACCCCACCCACAAGAGCAAGGTTCACCCCTCCCCTAAGAACATTCCTCAGAGTGGCCTGCGGGTAGTGAACAGCGGTGTGACTCCCCTGCACCCTCCCACCGCCCCCGCAACCCAATGACCCCATTTTTTCCAGAAGAAACAGAAGTCAGTGAGGTTTCCTTCTCTAGGAAGCATCTGCCGAAGAGCCTCTTTGGGGCTGGCCGGTGGCCAGTGGTAGAGTGCTCGCTCACAGTCCTTTAGCGATGCAGAAAGAGAAGTCCCCTTTGGTTGCTAGTGCTTTATGTCTAACTACAGTGGCTATTGTTGGGCAATGAACAATAACATTACCAACTTCCGGTCACAGCCCTTGGTTCACACCGATCTTAACCCTCCCACCCTAGAGCCGATGAACTGATCCTACAGATGAGGAAACCAGAACTGAAAAGCTCACAGCAGTACATCGGTGGTGCGTGGCCAGTAAGTGTTACAATGGGAACTTCGGCCCAGCTCTGGTCACAGAACCTGCCGGGAGACACTACCAGGTGACATCTGCTCCCAGACTCTGCCTTGCACCCTTCAGTAATGTCCACCATGTTTCATGTTTCTGTTCTTAAGAAAAATTTTTTTTTTCTTTTTGAGACAAGGTCTCACTGTGTGCCCCTGAGTGGCCTGGATCTCCCTATTTAGACTAGGCTGGCTTCAAATTCTCAGAGAGCCCGTCTCTGCAAGTGTGCAACCACATCTAAATTTCCTTAGATCTGCTCTTTCAGTGTTCAGTAAAACACTCTCTAGTAACACTCCGATCTTTGCATAGGAGAAAAGGTGAGCAGCCCCTGAGCCCCCATCCACCTGGGCCCCCATCACTGCCACTTTCCCACGAGTCCTCTCCTCTCAGAGTCTGCTAGGCCACATCCAGTGCTGGGGCTGGGAAGCCTACTGCTAACCCTTTCCTCGTTGTTCTATGAGGACACCTTGGAGACTTCACAAGTGGACTTTAGGAATGTTGCCAGGGGATGCCAAGGGTATGCCTGTTTCTTTAAAGCAACCCTGTTTGGCACTCCACCAGCCCTCGGGCTGCAGATTCATTCAGTTCCAAGCCGGGGAAATTTCCACTATAATCTCGTGCCCCTCACCACCATCTCCAGGCAGGCTCTTTTCTCCTGGAGACCCTCACTTCCTATTTCTAGTGGTGGGACCTTGTCTCCTCCCTTTGGAGAGTCACCAGCTCTCACCTGCTTTTAACTTCCTGGTTAGTGGTTGCTGGGGCAAAACCAGGACTCACAGAGTCCAGCGGTCCAACCCCCTGCTTACCATGTTTTGTATTTGCAAATCCTGCTTCCGAACTTCTTTTCTCAGACTAATCTGAATCTCTTAGGGCTTCGGAAAGCCTAGCACCCACGGCTGGTAGGCTGGGCATCTGGGATACCCTCTTAGCCTTCCTCCCTCTTCCTCCAAGGGTCCCCTGGTGCCAGCAGAGAGCCCAGCTGTGGGCAGCTGCTCACAGGTGCCAACAGTCTTTGCCACTTCCAAGACACTGCAGAGACCCACGAGGGTCCCGAGCTGGCAGGTCTTGGCATCCCCACTCCCTACACATGTCCTTTTGACCTCACAGTCCCTTTGAGAGTCAGGGAGCCCTGCCTGACCACCTCCGAGAGGATACCCCAAATCCAAAGCCAGGGCAAGTCTGACACCATGAGCATCCGAGGACAGGAAGGGACACCTGGCATCACAGTTCTGGCAGAGATGACAGGTCTCTTCCCTCCACACAGACACTGCCTGCTGATCTGGTACTTCTCTGTCACACTGGTCCATGCCCTATCCAGAACCCAGGGGTCACTGTGTCCTCAAGATTTGAGACCCATCCTTACACAGGAGGGAGTGGGTAGAAGCCAACCATTAGTCAAGATATTTGCCCTGTCTCCCACAGAGACTGAAGGCAGGATAGGATGTGTGCTGGGTCACTCAGGCACACCCACAGTGCATTCTTCCTTGGGAAGAGAAGCCCCACTAGCACCCATCCCAGGCAAGCGCTTTAGAAGGTCAGATCCTCTGTCAGAGCCTCTGTGAGGGAATCCAGAAGGCGTGCCTAGGACACAATCAGATCATTGTCTGCCCCCTTACCCCCCCCCCCCCAGCAGCCCCATCCCTTCAGAGAGACTGAGCCTGAGGCTACAACCCCCTGTCATTTCTTCCCTTACGGAATGAGTCCAGAAGAGGTTCGGCAGGTGACCTCCATCTGAGCCCTATCCTGTATTACTTCCCTTTAGTTGGGCACTCTCTATGCACCCTGGGTGGGAATGCAGACTGGGGCCGGACTGGGGCACATGATACCCTTGAGATAGGCTGGGTAAAGATGAATGGGCATTGCAGGCAAGAAAGGCCTTTTTGAGCCAAAGTCCAAGGGAATGGGTGGCTGAATCATGGGGGTGGTCTGGGTCTCTAAGCAGGCCTGGCTAAGGGGTGACTAGATGCTCCTCAGAACAACTGTACTGACTAGGGTGCAACCCCAGAGGGAACCCTGGCCCTGGGAAGACTGCAACAACATAAGCGAGCCTTGGCCATAAAAGGGGCTCTCCCCCTTACCCCCCGCTACAGGTGGGGGCTAAGATGGGACCCCTTTTGGGCCTCTAATTCCCCACCAACTTTTAGAAATCCCTGGGCTTCATTCCCCTCCCATGGCTTACAAAGGAAAGACTGAGTAACAGCCTGATGGTTCTCAAGCACTTTGTGGGTACATCACTGCCCTGGGAAGGTATCCTAACAGACCAGCCTTCTCCACCTAGGGAGGGAGAAGCAAGCACGGATTAAGCACCTAAGGGCAAGAACAGTCAATCACTGTTCCAGGTGAGACCTTTCCGGGTAGTGCTGTGACGGTAGCTTGAAGGCAGTAGGTGGGTGAGCCAGGCCCGACCTCAGAGCTGAACTCAGCCTTGACATAACCAGTCAGACCACTGCCATCTCGGAAAATTTACCTGGAATTCCAGTGGATTCAGACTCTGTACTTAATACTTACCAAATAAACTGCCTCTAGGTACAAGAAAAGGCACTAAGGGTTCAACAGGTTCGCACCGTCGCGTCATGGGCAAACCTAATCTGCTCTCCACCTCAAGCTTTCCTGAGTCAGGCTGACCTGACCACCCGGTGGACCGCCTCCTCCTCTTCTGCGCCCTCCAGCAGCTCAAAGCATCACCTGGGAAGAACTGGGCGCCTGGGGTCAGGCCAGCCCTCTAGGAGGGCTGTCACCACCGAGCTTGGACAGCTGCTAGGAGGGATGAATCCGCAGGCTGCGTGCCTGAATCCTCCGATCTGTCCCTGCCTCTGGCCAAGTCGCGGTGTCACCGGGATACCTCGCACCCAGTGCAGACCACACGGAGAGCCGAGAAGACACCTGTCCCCGCGCACCAGGCAGGCTGCGAAGCCTGGCATGCCTGGAGTCTCCTTACCTCCAGCGCATCCAGCCAGGAAGTCGAGCGCCATGGCCCGGCCCCGCGAGCCGCCTGAGTCCTACTACTCTTATGGCCCCTGGGCCGTCGGGGCTCCGACTGTCCGGCAAGCCTGGTCCGGGTGGCGACTGGGTGATGACTCTTAGGAAAGCGCTCCCCCTGCGTCCAGCACGCGGGGCATCACCTCGCGCCGTGCGCCCCGCCCTGCCGGCCGCAGCCCCCGGTGCAGAACGCAACCAATGGGTACACCAGGCACGGACAACACCCCGCGCTCTGGGTGTCGCCGCCAAATTTTATTGGTTGGGCGCTCCTGGAGGGTGTGGCCTCGGGCACAGTGGGCGGGGGTATCATGGGGTGCAGCAGACAAAGACTGTGCTTCTCGGGCCCGCCCGCGCGGCCCGGAGCAGGGGCTGTACAGTGGGTACACTGCGTCCTGGAGCCGGTAACCTTCAAACTACACTGCGAGGGGCAGCGCTCGCCTTGCTTCGGCCCTGGGGCCCCTCACGGTGTTTGGACGCGACTCAGCTGCTCAACCTCTTCGTCCTTGCCAGTGTCACGGGGACACTGTGGCGAGCACACGTGGAACGTCTTGACTCTCTAAGGCCTGCGGGATTGGACGCCGCTAGTTGTGAAAGTTCGAGAATGGCTTCCCACCTGGAGAAGCCTCCAAGACCCCGGGTCTCCTTAAGCGAACGAGCTGGGAGTCTGAGTTCCGAGCACGCCCCGGCAGGGCCGGAGACTTGAATTTGAATGACGCCGAGACGAACTTATCAAACACAAGGGACCCAAGGATGGAAGGGTGCCGCCAAGCCCGGAGGTGTTCCTGGGAACCGCTGAAGGTTGTGGAGAGAGGGATGCTGCAGGACAGGGCTGGGAGCCGGCAGCAGACTAGATGGGGGCAAACCTCATGCAGCGCTGGGCCTTGGGACAGGGTGAGCTTGCTGAAGAGCAAGGAGCGCGCAGGTGCCGCTGACTTGGCAGAGCACTAAGGGTAAGGTAGGGTAAGACCCCTACGTGTCCTAATATGTACAACAGCAAGGAGTTTTGAAGCAGTTCCCAGTGATGGACACAACCACAACTACCAGGGCCTCTGTTAGTCGTGACTCTCCTGAGCCGAGAGCCTTGTAACAGCCTCCTGTGGTCAGGCACACTGTTCTTACCTATACCCTCTCGGAACTGGGCAGGAGTTGATGGGTGGCAGATCCACTGGAGGGGCAGGTCTTAAAAAGTTCCAGTGAAGCCTGGAGCAGGGACCTTGGGAAGTGGTGTTTATCCTTGAATGGACCCTTCCTGAAGCCGACATCCAAGTCCAGGCCTGCTGACTCCTAGTCCAGTGCTTGTGATGGCTACTGGGCCCTGAACTTAGGGGTCTGGAGGCCTGGGTTTGATTTCCACAGCCTCTGAGCCATCTGGGTGCCTTTGGGAGGCAAGTGGTGAGAGGGAGAAGGAAGTCCACACTGGAACTGGGGTGAATATAGGGCCCCTCCTGAGGCCCATGCCATTAAACCCAACAGTTCTCATACAGGGACATAGTCCCAAGAATGCCCTGGGGGACTAGGTGGCAAAGCTCATACCTTCACCTCTGACTTTGGGTTCTAGGAGACTAGAGGGCAGCCGATGAGACAAGAACAACCCATTCTGCTTATGGCTTTTTTCTTTTTGAGACGGGATCTTGGTATGTAGCCCAGGTTGGTCTAGAACTTGCCCCTCCCTGCCCCATCCTCCTGCGCACCTGTGCACCGAGGCTACAGGTGTGCACCATGACATTTTGTTTCTTTTTCTTTCTCCAGAGGTGAAACTCGGGACCTCGCGCATGCTTGGCAGGCAGGTGTGTAACTTGCTGAGCCTCGTTTCTCTACTGCTGTTGTTTTGTTTTTAAGAGAGCATGCATCAAAAAGCCAGAGAAGGACAGGTAGGAACTCGGGAGAGCCTGCCTTTATATGATTGTCATTCCTGGCCTTGGTTGTGTGGCGCTCTGACCCTCTGGGAGTGCTGGGGAAGGGCCCAGAAGCCTGGTACACATCAGGTACTCCATAGTTGAGCTTCAGAGCCATTGGAAGGAGAGCCCAGGGACAGCCCCTGTAGGAATCCAGTGGGACCTGGTGTGCTGTCCTCTGGGTACCTTGTAGGCCAAGCATGGGTGGGCTAATTGTGGTAGGGGCTGGTATTATATCTGGAACTACTAGGTTTGGGGACAAAAATGTGTGAGGGAATGGGAGGCTAAGCTGAGGTTTCATGCTGTCCTAGGTAGGTGAGGATCTGTCCTGTGGGACTGAGTGTGTCCTCAAGGCCCACTGGTCTGCACCTTGAGGGGCAGGCACTGATAGGGGAGAGAATCACTTGAGACAGCAATCTTGCTGAGAGCCCTTTGCACAGGCCTTTGGTGATCTGGTTCAGAAGACAAGTCCAAATACTTGACCTTGGTAGTTAGCTGGGAGGAGACCAGAAAGAACACCAGGTGCCCACACCTTGGGGCTGTATTGTTTTATTGTTTTCTTGCATTTTACAAGGGTGAAATGACAGCAGGAATGTATCTACTTCTTCAAACTCTGCTCCAGAGGCACTGGGGTCCATTTAGCTCTGAGGATTCCAGCCAAAGGGCAAACAGTAGGAGAGAGGCAGTGTGGGGAAGGAACTGTCTGTCACTGCCCAAAGGGCACACAGTAGGAAAGAGGCGGTGTGGGGAAGGAACCTTCACTGCCCACAGGGACATGTTTTGTTTGGAAACATCTTTCCTGAGTTCTTACGTAAGACAGGCCCAGTCTAGAAACAGAACAGACAGTGGGCAAAGAGAAGCATCATATCCTTCGATCTCCCTACCCTGGAACCTGTACACTGAGTGACAGAAGGGGCTGTCTTACTTGATATGAAATCCACGCTCAATGCCAAGGACACAGGAGGACCATAATGATATGGCTGCACCCACTCAACTTCCAGCCTTCTGCTCAGCTCAGGTTTCACATGCCAAACTTGTTCCTGCCTCAGGGCCTTCGTGCAGGCTGCTCCTTCTGGGGAGCCCTTCCCCTAACCTAGCTCTGCAACTTGGGCTCTATCCAGTTCTCTCTTAAGGTGCTGATTGGCGCACCACTGTGGTCTGAATGACCTCTCCCCGCGGTTCCAGGTAGAAATCCTAGTCCCCGAGGTGATGACATTTGGAAGTAGGGCCTTACTGGCTAACAGTGTCTCCCTTCTCTAGGGACGCCTGTCTTGTGAAAGGCAAGGGTGGCTCCAGTTGTTTGAAATGTATTTTTTAGAATTAAGAAAAAAATTTCTAGGGGCAGAGAAATGGTTCAGCAGTTAAGAGCGCTCCCTACTCTTTCAGAGGACCCAAGTTTGGATCCCAGTACCCATGTCTGGAAGCTCATGACCACCTGTATCTCCAGCTCCAGAATCCAGTGCCCTCTTCTGTCTTACACACACACACACACACACACACACACACACACACACACACACACAATGTTTTTAATCCTATAAAGCTGGATGGGATATATCTTGCATCTTTAATCCCAGTACTCAGGAGGTAGAGGCAGACTGGTTTCTTACAAATTCAAGTCCAACCTGGTCTATATAGTGAGTTCTAAATTAGCCAAGGCTACTGTATCAGGGTTCTCTAGATGAATAGAACTTATAGAATGAATCTCTCTATATATAGAAAGGGGATCTATTAGAATGACTTACAGGCTGTGGTCCAGCTAATCCAACAATGGCTGTCTATGAAGGAAAGTCTGAGAATCCAGTAGTTGCTCAGTCCATGAGGCTGGATGTCTCAGCTGGTCACAATATATGCTGGAGTCCTGACGTTGTAGGCTCTAGTGCCAGTGAAAGAATGGATTTGCTAGCAAGGTTGACAGCAAGCTGGCAAAGAGTAAAAGCTTCCTTCTTCCATTTCTTTATATAGACTGCCAGCGAAAGGTGTGACCCAGAGTAGAGGTGGCTCTTCCCATCTGAAAAGATCTGAATTGAAGCTGTGGGGTTTTTTTTGTTTGTTTTTTGTTGTTGTTGTTGTTGTTTGTTTGTTTTCGTTTTTTGGGTTTTTTTTGTTTTGTTTTTTTGTTTTGTTTTGTTTTGTTTTGTTTTTTTTGAGCCAGGGTCTCCTCTGTGTTGCTTTGGAGCCAGTCCTGGATCTAGCTTTTGTAGACCAGGCTAAACTTGAACTCACAGAGATCTGCCTCTGCCTCTGCCTCTGCCTCCCGAGTGCTGGAATTAAAGGTGTGCGCCACCACCACCTGGTTGAAGTTATATTTTTCCACCTCAAAGATCTGGATTAGAAGTAGACCTTCCTGGGACTGGAGAGATGGCTCAGAGATTAAGAGCACTGACTGTTCTTCCAGAGGTTCTAAGTTCAATTCCCAGCAACCATATGGTGGCTCCCAACCATCTGTAATGAGATCTGGTGCCCTCTTCTGGCCTGCAGGGACACGTGCAAGCAGAATGCCATATGCATAATTAATAAATAAATCTTAAAAAAAAAGAAGTAGACCTTCTCGTGGCAAAAAAAGCAAAAAGCCCTCATAGATGTGCCCCCTCCATTTTGGGCTTTAGTTAACTCCAGATATAGTCAACCAAGAGCTTGACAACCAGGAACAGTCTTTACAGCTACATAGTGAGAAAAACTCTGCAGCAACAAAATCCTGTATGGAAGGGCCAGCCAGATGGAGTAGAAGGTACCTGGTGCCCGAGTCTGGCTCTTGGGGCCTGCATGGTAAAAAAAAGAGAGAGAGAACCAGCTACCACTCCCTGTCCTCTGACCTTCACACTTGTGCTGTGGCATGCAGGCCCCACCCACATAAAAGAAATAAAACACACACACACACACACACACACATATATACATATAATACATATATATATATATATGTATACACACACACACACACACACACATATATAAAATCCAGTGAGAGGTTGAGGATATGGTTTAGTTGGTAAAGTGCAGGCACAAGGGGACCTGAGTTTAGGTCTCCAGCAGGGTCTTCCACTCAAGGCCAGCCTGGGCTACATAGTAAGGTCTCTTCTCAGTTAGTCAGTAGGCCACCCTGAGGAGCCAGGGAAGTGCTGGAAGGGGCAGCTTTGCGGGAGTGGGAACAACCCGGAACCAAGAGTGGCTCTCTCAGCCTGGCAGGCAGCCACAAAGGTGGCTGGGACTGGTTTGTCTGGCCAGTGTGCCTTGATGTGATGCCCCCTTCAGACTTCCCAGAGGGAGGTCGAGCATAGAGTTCCTATAGAGCTAAATCAGATTCCCAGCCCCTGAGCAGGAGAGGTTGACTGCCTCGAAGCCAGCCTCCTCAGCACACCCTCAGGGCTTTGGGGACAGTGTCTCAGAGTTCTCGAGTGCTTTGGTTGGTTTTGCTTGACTGTCCTGGCTGGCACCATATGGGCATTTGTTTCAAGTTATGTTCGTTTATGTTTAGGGCTGGGGAAGGAGCCAGGGAGCAGACAGTATCCAACTCTGCTGTTGTCCTGCTACCCATGATCCTCTAGTTCCAGGAAAAAGAAGATGAGGATTAATTTAATAATTGTGCTTCCTAGCCCTGGGTGTATGTGTGGGGGAGTCCTATATTTCCAGCGGTTCCCCTGGGGTCAGCTCTTGGTTGACCAGAGACTTCCTTGGCCTACTTCAGAACCCACTTGACCTTCAGGAGTCAGTGGACACCAGAAACTCAAGATGGGACTTGGTATAAATAGCTACATGGCAAAGACTTGATAAATACAAGTAGGCTGCAGGGGCCCTGCTGCTGGGGGTGCCCCAGAACTGGAAGATCGTGGGGGTCCCTCATGGGTGTCTGGCCACTTGTAGCCTAGTCTGCGTGCCCTCTGGGCTCCCACTGGCACATTGCCAGTTTGTTCCCAATCCGCAGTCAGCATCCAGGGGTCCTGGAGGGCAGTGTGCCCTGCATAGTCTTGATTTGAGGTGTGGCAGAGCTAGCTGGAGTTGGTACCATAGGAGGCAGGAGAGGGAGAAACAGCTGGCAGGGAGGATTCTGTGTCCTGAGCCCAGACTTGTCATTGTCATGGCAGGCATGTCACTCAATGAATATCAGATGTGGCCAGAGGGTCACTCCAGAGACTGAGGGAGAAGGTTCAGTGCCTTGGAACCAAGAGTTTCATGAACTTTGCAGGGTTTTAGGCAGTGTCCCCAGCTTCCCCAGTTTTCCTGTCCAACCTTAGGGGCAGCGCTAGGCAGAGAGGTCAGCTTCTACCTATCCTCTGTACAAGCCCTTTTATGTAGAGTCCTGTTGGGCATCAATTTGTTGTAGGAGGTCACTTGTTCGTTCCCGGCTGCCCACACTCCTGAAATAATCACTCAGAAACTATCATCTAAATCACTGCTTGGCCCATTAGCTCTAGCTTCTTATTGGCTAACTCTTACATCTTAATTTAACCCATTTCTATTAATCTGTGTATCACCACGTGGCTGTGACTTATCGGCAAGGTTCCATCCAGCAGCATCTGTCTCTAGAGGGGCTACATGGCTTCTTTCTGATTCTGCCTTCTTTCTCCCAGCATTCAGTTTAGTTTTCCCCACCCAGCTCTACTCTTTCCTATCACAGACCAAGGCAGATTAATTATTCATTAACCAATAAAAGCAACACACATAGAGAAGGACCTCACACACCAGAGCTCTGTCTGCTCCACCAGGCTTTTGTGTCAGGCAGGAGAGAGAGAACAAAGGGTGTGGTTCACCTCTGAGGCATGACCCCATAAAGGTCTTCCTGACCCAAGAGAAGAAGGATGTCCTGGGCTGGAGAGATGGCTCAGCGGTTGAGAGCATTGCCTGCTCTTCCAAAGGTCCTGTATTCAATTGCTGGCAACCACATGGTGGCTCACAACCATCTGTAATGAGGTCTGGTGCCCTCTTCTGGCCTGCAGGCATACACATAGACAGAATATTGTATACATAATAAGTAAATAAATATTTTTTTTTTAAAAAAGGATATCCTTGCAGCTAGCAGGTGGCCTGTAAGCCTAGATTATTACTTCCTTCTTGGCCTCTTGTCCCATTTTCCCTTCGCAAACTGCTGCCACCCTGCTGGCCATGCTTCTGTTCCTGGCCAGGCTATGCCTGCACCTAGAAAATGTATCCCAAACTACAGTGACCCTTCAGCTCACCCCACTGGTTCCCTGGAGCCCATTCTGGAACATACTCATGCTTGCTGCCTGCAAAGAAGGCCCCTCCCAGATGGTTCAGCTAGCTTGTCTTGGGCCTCCAGGATAGCCCAGCCTGTTGCATTTCCCAGCTTTGGTTTTTGGCTCTTCATGATTTGGAAGTGGGCCTCCACAGAGCCGGAGAGATGACTGAAAATGCTGAAAATGCTCACTGTCCTTCCAGAGTTCTTTGTGCGTTTGTTTCCCTGCACTCATGTTAGATGGTTCACAACTGCCTGTGATTCCCGTTTCAGGTGATCCAGCACCTTCTCTGGCCTCTATGTGTGTGTCACACACATGCACACACATTTTTAAAAAGTTTGTCTGAAAAATATTTGACACTCTGTCCTTCAAAGATGGTTCCTGGGAACTAGGAATGGTAGCTCAGCGGTATGGTGCTTACCCAGCATGCATGAGGTTCCAGGTTCCATCCCCAGCACTGGAGGGTGGGGGATTGAAACCTAACCTCTTCCTGCCCTTACTGAACAGTTTCTACGTTCTAGGTAAGGAAAGTGAAGCCTGGATAGGCTACAGGATTTGTCCATCCCAAGTTATCTGGCTCAGAGTCGCTCTTCAGGGTGCTATGGACATGTACCACATGTGGATCCCTAGGCACTTGAGCGAAGACACATGGAAAGGCAGGGGAAGGAAATAAGCCGCAGCCCAGTATTAGAGACATTTCAGGCTGGGGAGATTTGCTCAGTGATGATGAGCGCTTCCTGCTCTTGCAGAGGATCTCGGTTTGGTTCCCAGCACCTGTGTTTGGTGGCACACAACCATCAATAACTCCAGTTCAGGTGACCTTTGAAGGTACATGCACGCTTGGGGTACATACACTCACACACATACACATAAAATAAATTTAAAAAATCTTTTTAAAAAGTCCAAAGCCCGTTGTTCTGGATGGATGGCTCATGTCTGTGCTCCCAACACTCAAGAAGCTGAGGGAGAATTACTTTTGAGACAGTGTCCCACATAGTCCAGGCTGGCCTCAAATGTGCCCTGTAGTTGCGAGTTCCCCATCCTCCTGTCTCCAGCTTCCAAATGCTGGGGTTACAGGTATGTGTCACAATGCCCAGCAGGAGAGAGCTTGCAGACTCCCTTTGGGCAGCAGGTCCCTGAGGCCTGGGTTGTATGTCCGGCACTTACTATCTGCTGGGTTGGGT